TCAGCGACTGCTTGGGGGGCCCCTGCAGGACAGTTGTTATTTGTCTCTGTATTCCGGGTGTCTCCTTTTATAGACAAACAGCAGCAACTCTCGCCTTCGCAAGGAGCGCACGCAAGCTACCCCCTGTACCCGAGGGGGGGGGGCCCCTAGGGGGCCCCCTAGGGGGCCCCCAGGGGGCCCCCAAACATAAACGACCACGCACTGCACATGCAGACACAGATACTAATACTGCTGCTCCTGCTGCTGCTGCTGCTGCTGCAGCAGCAGGGGGATCTGCAGCAGCAGGGCCTGGGGGCCTGGAGGAAAGCACGCAGGATGGCAGCTCTTCAGGGGGCCCCTCAGGGGGGGGGCCCCCAGGGGGCCCCCCCCCAGGGGGCCCCCACCGGGGTGTTGTGTATGTACCCACGGGGTGTCTACAGTGTCGTGCTCTGTATAAAGCGCTGCAGGAGGCGAGGGAGGAGCTGGCCTGGCAGAAGGTGCAGCTAAGACAGCTGAGATATGTAGTAAGCAGAGGACTGCCTGCTGCTGCTGCTGCTCCTGCTGCTGCTGCTCCTGCTGCTGCTGCTGCTGCTGCTGTTGGTAGTAACAACAGCAGCGAGAGAAGTAACAGCAGCAGTTGTTACAGCAGCAGCAGCAGCAGCAGCAGCAGCAGCAGCAGCAGCAGCAGTACGCCGCGAAGAGACAAACTATGGCACGAATACTCTCACAGCTGCGGGCCTTCTGGGGTATCTGCAGCAGCAAAAGAAGAGCTTGCTGCTGCTGCTGCTGCTGCTACTGCTGCTGCTGCTGCTGCAGCTACTACGCCGCAGCAGCTCATAAAAAGCTGCGGACGAGGGATTTCCTACAGAACCCCACAGGGGGCCCCTGTCAATACACCGGGGGCCCCCCGGGGGCCCCTCTTGGGGCCCCATGAGCCCAAGGAGTGCAACTAAGCCACGCAGCAGACTAGCAGCAGTTACTCTATGGCCGATACAAAACCCTAAACCCTAAACCCTAAACCCTAAGCTGCTCTTGTGCTTGCGGTGTCTACACCCTCGATAAACCCCTTGATGAAGGGCCCCTGGGTACGAAGGGGCCCCCAGGGGAGCAAGGGGGCCCCCCGATAAAAAGGGGGGCCCCCAGAGGAACAAGGGGGCCCCTTAGGGAAGGGGTCAACGGCCAGGCTGCTTGGGGTGG